TTAACTGATAGATGAAATATCGAACTCTTCAAAAGTATCTTGTAAATGTTTTGAACCTAAATTAAACAAATAAAATATATGTTACTTAGTTTCGTTTTTTCACAGACAGTAACATCTGATAGTATCATGTTTGAAGATACGTTCTCATCGAAAAGAAATGTAATATTAGACAATGGCATAATCTTAATCAGATTGTTCTGCAACATAAACAATAAGAGAAACAAATGCAGATGAAACATAAAAGTGAAAGCTTGTTAGGCATAAAATATAACTCATGAGGAAGGCTATCTGAATGTTGGAATATCCCTATTAATGTAGTACATTAGTGGGGATCTACAATTGGACCAATTGAAATTTATGCTTGTGAGCTTACCTGGAAATTCATGTACTGTCTGTCATGTTTGGAAGCTCTTGCCTTCAAAATGTCACAGAAAGATTTGACAGAATAATGAATTTCTACAAACAGCCTCTATACAACCATTTCATAAGCTCCATGCTGAAAGCTATCTTAGGAAGTTGACCACCTAAAAAAACAAAATGCAATACTGAATAAATCGAACGAGTGAATAAAAAACATCATAGAGAAGTGATTGCTTTTATCATAAACCAAAGAAATGAATAATAACTAAACTGCATGATAAAAATAGTATTTGTAAAAGTCAAAATAACATGTATTTCAGGTTAGAAACCCTTATGAGTCGTGCTGAAAGCCAAACCCCAATAAATTCAAACAGTATGAAACAAGTGAGAAAAATATGAGAAGGCGTACATATACCCAAATTAGTTAAACAATAACTATTGTGCATGAAGGTTGGTGCAAAAACCACAAAGTTTGAAAAGATTTTAAAATAATTGACCAATTAAATTATTGAGTAGGACAAAGGGATGCAACTTAGAAAAAGGACTGATACGTCTATTAACACAGAAAGAACCCAGTCTTTTATAAGCCAATGACTGGCCTAATATTTAAGTAATAGTAGGCCAGTGTAGCAGGCTCTATTTTGTGTTCGAGATCAGCACTAAAAATCTACACAAGTGTTCAATAAGTTCTTTTTACAAAACTTGTCTATTATAACAATATCTTTTATGAATTTTGAGTTGCAATCATGGTGCTTCATTTTCTAGGATATGATGATAAGCAAGACAGTGCAGAAGAGCAAAAATAATGTTTAAAATTTTTGACATTACCTTCCATTCTTCAAAGATATTATGCC